AGCCTGATGTTCGTCCACTTGACACCAACGAACTACCGAAGAATGTTGTTTTCAAAAATGCTTTTGAACGATTTTGGACACAAGATGTGAATTTGCGCACTATGAATGATACGCTCCCTGATACCTTCACCCTCAGCCCTTCGTTGAAGCTCTCTGGCAACAGAGGTATCCCTATACGGATGAGTTGGAGTGGAACCCCTGTATTCTCCGGGCACCCACACGGAGGAGTGACGGTGTCATCAATACGTGCTCGATCGGCATACTCGATTCGACTAGAGTATATTTCTGGTGTGAAGACTTTGGGCTTTGGACAGGCCTGTAGAGTGTATTGGTGTCGGCTTCGAATAGGTTATTTCTTTCTTTTTCAGGGCCAAACTCTTCTCGCTGGCTCCTTGCATGAAAATATTATCTAGTACCAACATATTCGGTAAATGCTACGGCGCTCTCGTGGCGTTATTGCAGTCAGCTATCAACCTGGAGCTCCAGGGCTTAAACATCACCACTGCATCGCAGATGGATCCTTTCTACAAGGCAATAGAGAGAGATATTGAAAACAAGGATGAGGAAAGAGCCAAGCCCTTTGTCCTGAGCAGTCCTGACACGGTAGCGTCCTACATCTTGGAGGTCATTCATGATACCTTCATAAACGCTATATGATGTATCACTGCGTTGTTGTTGTTGTTGTTGTTGTTGTTGTTGTTGTTGTTGTTGTTGTGTCTGCTGTAGAATGCTGTGGTGTTGTGGTATTGCAAGGAGGGCTTGTCACAGGGTGGGGGGATATGCGTAATATGCATTGCATATGGTTGACCATGTTTGTTGGTGATAGTATGGAAACTCTGAGCTACTACTACTATTACTACTACTACTACTACTACTACTACTGCTACTACTACTACTACTACTACTACTACTACTACTACTACTGGTTCAGGTATTGTATAGTATGGACTCAACTCTAGAAATTGGTCCTCATTCTAGTGCCTCACAAATTGTGAGGCACTACAATGAGTTGTTCGTTGCGCGTTCGTTGCGTGTTCGCTCATTGTGAGTCACAATGAAGCCTCTCGTAACATCATTCTGGTTTTTCTCGTGCGACTATGTTTATGTCAAGGCTAGGGTGGGTGGGAATGAACATATCCGTGGGCTCGGTCCTATGAACGGCGATCCCAACGACCGATTCTATTATGTGCAGAAGGATTATCTTGAGGCCATCTCTGTACCGAAGGCTTGGGGCATCGTAGACTCTGCTCCGAAGAGAACACACGTGACCATCGCGACTATAGACAATGGAATCGAA